AAGTCTTCAGCAGCAGCAGGAAGGGAGAGGCTCAGCTCGCTCAGGTCCAGTCTGACACGGAGTGTTCAGCCTGAGCCCAGCAGGCAGGGAGGGTTATGTCAGGCGGTGAGGGCTCTCAGTGCGCTGCCCTGCTTAGAAAACCGTGAAGTCAGGAAAATGACATAGTCAAATGGTATTATTTTGGCAGAACAGAGGGGGGAAAAAGAGACACAAGCATCAAGTCAATCTCCTCTCCATGATGCACAAAGGCAAGACACCAGCCCTCTTGAAAAAGACTCAAAGGGAGCTGGCTGCTGTTCCTTGTCTGCAGTCACTGCCAGGGTTTTGATGTCTATCACAAATCCTGCTTTAGCCTCCTGGGGCTAGAGGTCTCGTCAGACATTGTTTGGCTATGTGGTGTTGAAACTGCTGACCTCTGGCCACTCCACATTATTGTCTGCTCGGGTGGAAGGTCGTGACTAAGCCAGTAATGAGTAGTTCTCATTTATAATCAGTGACCTGAAAATAAAAAAATATATAAACTATATAGAAACTACAGAGGGGTGTATAAGAATGTACAAATATAACAGACTGCTATACAAAGTATATGTTCATCAGTCATTCTCTTTCCCGCAAAATAGAGGCATTAACTTACTTTGTCCTACAGGCCCGTCTGCAGTTTCCCAAGGCTCAGGAGATTTATTAGTTAACAGTCAAACTTTTCTAGGATTTTCAATTCTTCTTTTTTGAGGTATGGTACACTGAGTAACTTCTCTCCTTCCCTTTATTAGTTCTTTTATAATCTGTAATTGCTCTCCAATTATTATTTCTGAGAACATCTTCTTTGTCATACAGGGCTTACAAACAATCTCAGAATGGTATTCAGTATCATCTTGCCTGGTGAATCTTTAGTCAGCCTCACCTAAGACTCAAGCGTTTACATATGCCTATATACCTGTTACCGGGTTATGTTCGACTCACCTGTCTGAGCTCATACAATCACTCTTTGTAAGCAAGGTTTTGCACGTGAGTTGATGTTGAAAAGTTTTCTGTCATGAGTTGTTTTTGTGATACTTCGGCAATGTAGAACAGTTTAGAAAGAAAACAGTTTTGGAAAATACATTGAAAAAGTTACAGTAGCATAAAAACGTGTGGAAATGCAATGAATGGAATGAATATCAGGGATATTAAGAAGCAGCATTTTTTGTTAACTTTCAGGAACTTCTTTGTAGTATAGACAGAAATACACATAAACACTTGGAAAACTTCCTGTGGCATATTTTTTTGTAAGTTTTTTTTAACAGGTAAGCTAAATGGATACATACATCTGCACACAAACACTACGTGAAACGGTTTCTTTCATTGTTAGGAAATTCGAATTTCAAGCTCACTTTTTGTAAAGCATTTTCGTGAAGATGAATCCTAGCCTGATCTTTCATTTCCTTTAGTTCACCTCTGAAGAACAAGTAGGAAAAGAGGTAGTTTATAAGATCTTGACTGTGAAGAACAGGAGACTGATTGTTCTCTGAGGGAGGGACAAACGAGCTGTAATAACATATTAACCGTGTATATTGACACACTTAACATCCTGCATCAGTCAGAGAATTGCATTTCGGTTGCACAACTTATTTGTTCGGTAAAAGTGGGAGAACTATCCATTCCTTAATGCATGTATTCATTGTAAACAAGCAGTAAAAATTGCATAGGGATGAAAACTACATTTTCAGCAGTAAAATTCTATTTAAAGCTTTCCCATACTGTGCCCTTAAATGGTGCAAGAAGGGAAGAAAATGATGCATTGGTAGATTTATACTGACGCACTTGTGTGAGATGTACATGACACATTTTAGCTGGCACCCAAGGGGTTAGCATACATATTTCATGATGGAGAAGAATGTGCTCTTTGTGCCTGACTGCACACCCCTGTGCAGGATACCAAAGTGCCTCTTACATAAAGAGTGATGTGGAGCAGTCTTACTGGAGTAGAGTTCATTAAAAAGTCCACAGAAAGTAACTGTGGTGAAGATGCTCCATGTAAGACTAGAGTGGAAGTGAGGAACTGCTGACAGTGTTTGTAGAGCATCAGCCCTTCCTTCAGGCGCTTCTGCTGTGACCGTCCACTGGTCCGAGGGCAGCAGGAAAGAACAGAGATGCAGCGTTCTGCCACCGGCTGGGAACAGACACCATAGAAAAATGGGATAATCAAAAAAATGGATGACCTAGGGTGATAAGGAAGCCTGTTTGTTTAGGTTTATATCTATTTCTCAGGCAGTTGCAGCAATAGCCAGTGTTGATAAAATCATCAGTGTTATGGCAAGATCTATACGAAGTGTCAGATAGGCAGTGCTGTAATTAGAATATTGTATTTAGAAGCCAAAAGCCAAGCTTCAAAGGCAGGTTATAAAGAAGAATAAACTAGCTTTTCTTGCCTTCAGCAAGATCTGCGTTAGACCTAGACCTACACCTTAAGAGTCTGTGCTGGTATAGTTTTTATGATACTGAAACAAAAGTAGTCAGCTGGAACCAACTGAAACTTGATTTCTTTCACCTCCTTCTACTTTCCAGGGTACCTTTTTTTTTTTTAAGCAGAAGAGAGAGCTAGGTTAGATATGGAGACTATAGTATGCTATTTAGATTTGTTCTTCATCTACAATCAGAGCTACTGTCTGGTTTTGTACTTCTACCTGCTAGTAAAGTCTATAAAGCCCAAGTAACTCTGCTTAATCTCCTTTTTCTGTGAGGTGATCTAAGTAGAATACCTCACCTTCTGGTGGGTTTAGAGTAAGTACACTGGCAGTTGTTTATGTTCACATTCATGTGAGAAACCGTTAAACACAGTAATTCAATACTTTGGGAAGCACTAACACTGTGACTTTGCTGCAGAGTTAGCTATCTGCTCAGAGATTATTTCCATCACATCATCAAACTTAGTGTGAGCAGTCACACACTGAGGTGCCATGCATCATGGACCAGAAACTTGAATGGAAAAGCATCTTCTCATTTTAATGCAAATATTTTGTTGTCAGTAAGACTCAAGCAAGGGCTAAACTTGGCAGTGTTTGAGGAGTTAACTTTAGCTGTACTTGAGTTAACTCTAGTAAAACCAGGATTAGGATTACATGAACCTGTTTCACTTTTGATCAGACGGATGGCACCATAGCCTCAGATGTGCAGGTCAAAGGCAATGAGATACAGCATTACTACCTCATATGCAACTCACATAATAGGAGTAGCAAATCTGTTTCTTTTTAAAGATGATAACTTTTTGTACATGTGGAGTGTAGATGAAAAAAGGACTGTAATATTTCCCTATCTTCATTTTGTCCCGTTGCTCATTTCTTTAGCATCATAAGTATGCATTGCATACTTTTTCTCGAGTACTTCTTTCTTCAGTTTATTACAGGAGGAGCTCATATGAATTCTATATATAGATTGCTTCAAAATTTCCATTATAAAAGCTCTTCTGAACTCTTTAGAGGAATGCTGACACTATTATTATCATGTCCATGATGTGTCTTTGGATTCTGGCAAGCAGAAAGCCTTAAGGTTAGAGAAATGCCTTTTCTTTGTTCCCCAAAAAGCCACTCAGCTATAAGCTGTTACATCTCTATTTCTCTTTGTTGTTCATATTGCTTCAGAAATTTCTGGCATCAGGAAAAATAACACAAAAGAACACAGGAACTTTCAAAGGGCTTGTCTACACTTGGAAATTGCAGCAAAGTGGCAAAGTATGACTTTCAAGTTTGATGTTTTGAACTAACTTCCCACGTACACACTTGACATTTATACTAAGGTGATTGGAGATACAGCTGTAGGGTGCTATCAAGGAGGGGTTATTGCTATATGGCTATTATGTGTTGGCTCTTTCAGGGTCTTCGTTCTTAAAAACAAGCTGTAAGGCTGAACCACAGGAACCCCCAAGTGCCTGTGGTACTCTGCAGGAAGCATAGTCCAGTCTCTTCACTGCCCTTGGCTGGGTGCATGGCACCACATCCTTCCCTGTGGTCAGCACAGGAGCACAAGATGAACGACTTTTGTGGAGGATTCTTTTTTTGATGGTTTGCACCCTCTGCATGCTCACACGAGCTCTGGGTTGACACCCTTCCCTTGCTCACGGTGGCTGTGCCATTGTCCTTTGCGTGCTAGCTGCAATCATGCCACAGTAATGACAGTTTGGGGTACAAACTCTGTAGAGAAAATCTTGTCTTTCTATTTAAAACTATCTGTTTTGAGTCCTAGTTAAACAGTAGCCTAGAAGATTGCAAGCAAAATTAATATCCTTAACAGTTTTTATTAAGGTTTTAAATGCTTGCTCTTGCACACTAGGAAGCCACAGATTTACAATTGCCTGTACAGCCC